GATCATCTGACCCTACTAAACTACTCTACTGTAACTTTGTGCCCCGAAAATTGGCGTCAGAGTCGTGCAAACCGTCACGAACTTCGCCGCGCAATTTGCCGCGTGCGTTCTCGGACGCACGAGGTGACCGTCCCCCCTGTGCCCTCCATCTATGAGTCATAAAGCTTATTGTTAGTACGTTACATTCATCACCTTCATGTAATGGTCCTTTGCATTCTTCAAAAAAAGATATGGGGCCGTTTAATGGCCCTGTTTGGCTGTCATGTCGTTTCCTTGATGAATTCTTTAGCTTTCAGCAGTATGCCTCTCCTTCATATTGTGACGTCATTCTCGTCAGAAAACTTTATTTCTCTTTGAATGTCAAGGAGAACCATAGGTGTTTCTCATCCCTAGCTTGCTATCTTACTGTAACACGGTGAGCTTTAGTAATACGGCATTTCCTGGTTCACCATATGACTATTTTTGCATCGTGCATGAGATCAGCTATGGGTTTTTGTCGTATAAAGCACGCGTTACGACTACAATTTCGAGGAACTGGGAGTTGAAACACTTGTGATCTCTGATTTGCTGGCCCAAGACCAATTTCATGAAAGAGAGCCATGGGAAACCATTTTATAGTTGAGGTAACGTAGTATTGAAATTGTTGATCGAACATACCCGAACTAGCGCCGGTACTCTTTGCTGGATCTGAGGGAAGATGATAAATATTCCACTCAAAACATGACATATAACCTGCCCAAAGTCCAAAAAGTTTATCTGATTCATTAGACGATACTGAGGGCTCGAACGCAGTTCCTTATCCTTTGTCATAACCTTAAAAGAGTAACAACTCAGACATCTGTTAGTATGGTTGAAGACACAATTCACGAAGATTGGCTTTTGAGGTTTCCTTAGGATAAACCTGTGTTCTTCAAGGATAGCGCACGAGCTAAAAAGCAACCAGGATGAAACTACAATTCACGAAGATTGGCCAAAAAGCACTAGTACAGGGGCCCGTGCTTCGTGGACCTGTCCGGGGCCAAAGTTTTGTCCACATATCACCAATCCTGTAAATGTTCAAGCAGCATATACAATGACTACAGTGGTAGCTAGGAAAGAAATCAGGTTTTCACCCTCTCAAAGAGCCTGGTACCAGGAGAGAAAGAATCCTCGTTGGCCTAAATGGGTGTCAATCCAGGATTTGAATCATGCCTATAATTGTATTCTCCTTTTCCCGCTACACAGCCTTTGCAGATTGCAGAATGGACACAAGGGTAAAGGGCGGGGTAAAGGTAAACAAACTCACGTATATAACGACCAGATATAGTGGTGCTATGAATAAGGCAAGACTCGAGTATATTATTCCTATAGTGACCTCTTCGCCATTCGAATTTATACTAAACAAAGCCATGCCACCAGTGGAGGTATTGGTGGTCAGTAGACAAGTTCAGCTTCTCGACACAACCTGAAAATAGTCATTTTGTAAACGTTGATGGAAGTCCGATTTTGACTTGGAGAAAAGAGCCAGTTGAAATTGATTAGCTTGTTTTTTTTTGTGAATATTTGCAAAAACAGTCGTGTTTATAATTAGCCTATGAATATTTTTTCATCAGAGGTCAATTGCAGAATAGAAAGAGCCTTAGCCGAGGACATTCGCTAAATAGATTTATCTCAATTTAACAGTAAGAAGATCGGTGTGAACCTGCAAGCATGGTGGCGTGCTGATGCTTACCTCGAAATGGAGCTGCAGGTAGGTGGGGAAGGTAACGTGGGAGAAGCCCAGGACTGTCCCAGCAATCTTCAGACGCTTCTTTAAGATTATGCTGCGGCAGTCAATGACGAAGATCGTATTAATTACCAACCCATAACACTGTCTTACTAGGAATGTACTCCCCTTTTGACCTTCCCATGCCCGACCAAGTGAAAGTGACGTGCTGCCAGGGAATTCCTTCTATACCTGAAAGCACTCGTTGATCGTGACACTAAAGAGCTAGAAGAACACCAAGAGATTTAAATATGTATCAGTCAACTTTTAAGAGGACAAATTTGCTTGCATGTCTGGGCAAATAGGAAATTTCCTTTGGGAGGAGATGAGAATTAAAGTTTTTATGTTAAATTTCAAGATAAAGGAAGTACAGCGGCAAGTGGCGCATTATACTAAATCTATTCTCCGAGTCAAATCTACTAAGTCTTCCATCCTCCTGCTTCCGTTATTCGGCTAAATTGACTTGTACATCGGCTGGCTACGGTAAGCCGTTGAATAGAACGCACCTCCCATTGAGCACATTACATATTCACTACGAATCTCAAAAAAGTCGAACGGAGCGCTCACCAATACGAGATATTTCGGGAAACGTCTTCCGGTACCTCTTATTTGGCAGCTGCACATAATGGAGTTAAAATTGACAAGGAGTTTGATGGCACATGCAATCGAACAGGATCACGAATACAACTAGTAAAATTAACAGCAGAGGGCTCTAAAGGTTAATATTTAGCTACGACCTAAGTTACCTAAGCAGTAACCTCTATTCTAGCAAACCTACCTTTCAAATTAACTTGGAGAAATGGTGGTTGCACATTTGTGCAGCCAAAGATCGCTGATTTGGGCGTGACTCACACATAGTCACCGTATAATTGGAAGGACTACAAAGAGAGAATCGAGCCATACTGGGAAAGATAGAAAATCCAAGAAGGTGAAAATGAAGTCACGCGATCAGGCGGCCAACTATTCTAGTATATTACGGAACACCTCGGAACCTCTTGAACCTCAACGAGCTCATAGCCAGTATTTCGTAGAATTAAATAGGAAGGCTCTGAAATTCTATAGTCTCATTCATGAGATGCGGCCCACTTCCGAGTTCCGTTCGAAATCGTAGTGGCGCTTTGAAAGGTAACCTTTATGATAAATTGTAAAGACCAAATAATGTGCCAATGTCAACGCTGTTATTTTCCTAGACAAGTGATGTCAGCAACCGGAACATGGAAGGCTTGATTGTATTTCCGCATAGTCCACCTATTAGTCTAGGAAGCGGTCACCGAGCCATGAGTGTCCGATGGTACGCCGCTCGCCACAGAACTACACAACTGATACCGTTAGCCCCACTTCAGCAGTAAACTGGATTAGAGAAGTTCCTCTGAGTAAGGGATGAAAGCTATCACGAACATCAGCGAGTGAATGGCCAACGAAAGGGGAAGGATGTTATTTTCTATTAAAATATACTCAACACAAAGCAATTACAAAGAAAAGTAATAAGTTCGTGGGATAATTGGGCTCATTATTATTTGTACGATACCCCAATAGCGTAGCTCCACCTTCTCTGATGCGTTAATTTGTTTTTGCTCTAGAAGAAGTTGTAATCTTCCGCACGAGAGGACCAGTGAATTCTCCATATGAGCACGTGGTGATGCGGAAGTTTCTCCTCTCATTAACTGCTTCAGTGATTGAAACTGATGGAAGTGTTAAGGCAACAAGTCAA